CATACACAATTCCATTTATAATCATGTATGATTATATATAACTATATATGATTATATATAATCTTGCTTGGCTGTATGTTGCTCTATATATAGTCATATATAATTATATATGATTATACATTATGACCTCATATACAATTCCATATATCATCATGTATGATTATATATAATTATGTATGATTATATATAATCTTGCTTGGCTGTATGTTGCTCTATATATAGTCATATATAATTATATATGATTATACATTATGACCTCATATACAATTCCATATATCATCATGTATGATTATATATAATTATATATGACTATATATAGAGCAATATACAGCCAAGCAAGATTATATATAATTATATATAGTTATATATATATTCATACATGATTATATATGGAATTGTATGTTAGGTTATATATAATCATATATAATTATATATGAGTATATATGGAGCAATATACAGCTATGCAAGATTGTACATAGTCCCATGTATAATTATATATAATTATATATGGAACTATGTATAATCTTGCATAGCTGTATATTGCTCCATGTATAGTCATATATAATTATATATGATTATACATTATGACTTCATATACAATTCCATATATAATCATGTATGATTATATATAATTTTATATACTTATATATATTTGTATATGGAACTATATATAATCCTGCATGGTTGTATATCGCTCCATATATAGTCATATATAATTATATATGATTATATATAACCTCATACACAATTCCATATATAATCATGTATGATTATATATAATTATATATGATTATATATAATTCTATATAATTATATATGTGATTCCATATATAATCATATATGATCATATACAATTATATATGATTATATAGAAACATTTTTTCTCGGGGAACTCTTTTCTCTCCGCTTCCCAGCCACACAGCCCTCTACCCGCTCTGATTCTCTTTTTCATTTCCGATCTACATCTCCTCACTATTTCCCCTCCTCCCTCCTCAGCTCTTTTTTCGAAGCTCCACGCTCTGATCCCTGCCTTTCCTTCCAACCTATCTCTCTGAAGCTCCTCTCTGACCTAGTACCCGGCTACACTCCTGGAGACCCCCATCACCCATCTCAAATATCTGTCGTGTAGCCTTTCTACCTCCTCTCTAGCTTTCCACCCCCATATCTCAACACCATAGCAGAGTACCGACCATACTAGTTTGTCAAACAGCCAAACTCTCTTTGCCCAGTCCTTTCCAAACTTCCTTTTTCCCAGCCCCTACACCTGGCTTAATATTCTCGCTCCCTTGGCTACCCTCTCCCGAGCATGTAAGTCCTGTTCACCATTAGCTTTGATCACGTATCCAAGATATGTATACCTATCAACTTCTTCTATCTCCTTCCCTCCCCAGTTCCAGAACACCTTCCTTTTTCTGCCCCCTCCTTTTCTACATCTCATCACTTTCGTTTTTCCCACGTTAACCTCCAGCTTTTTCCTTTCAAAATATCTTTCTAAAGTTCTCATTAGCCCCTTCATCTCATCCTCATTTTTAGCTAGAAGAGCTATGTCGTCTGCATATGCTAGGGAATATATTCCCCCCTCCCCTCCCCTGAAAGTTCCACTCCTCCCCATCTTCCTTTCTTTAATTCTTCATCTAGGTCTGCTAGAAAAAGAATGAGTTATTTGGTGAGACTTTCGTCTGCCTCCTTTCGAACAGGCCGTTTCCTGAGCTTAAAAAAGCTATACACGCACTTAAAATAAAACCCAAATCTCACCAAACAAAAGCACCGTCAACTCGCCGAGCAAGGA